TTCTGCAGAGGACCTGGGTTTGGTTCCCAGTCCCCATGTAGTGGCTCACAGTTGTCTGTAACTCCAGCTCCAGGGGCATGCAATTCCCTCTTCCGACCTCTGTGGGCACCAGGCACACATGTGCTGCACATACATGCATGCAGGCCAAGTACTCACACACACAAAATAAAAGAAATAAACCTTAAAATCCCCTGGGTTTTAGGACATGGCAGCATCATGCCCACAACCTCTGAAACAGGACGCTGTAACCACGTTTGCAGTGGTTAGGGAGTGGAGGGATCATTTCTCCAGGCCACAGTGTGACCTCCGTCAGGTCCAGGCACTGTGCCACTGTCCTCTTCTTCCACAGAAAGCATTAGAAGTTTCTGTTTTCCTTCACTGAGGTGTCACTGAGAAGGCTCAGGACATGCTATCCCAAACATGGCACCTTAGCGTCTAGGAAAACTGTAAGCAAGAGGTCCCTTCTCCCTACAGCTTTCTCTTCTCCCGTTATGCAGGCCACAGAGTCCTCTGGCTACCCTCTGAAGAACTCCGCTGCAGAGGCGTCTTCTCTACGCACAGAAGGCAGGACTGGCCTCTTCTGGGCAGACTGGAGACGTGAGAACACCAACAAGCAGCCCTTGCTCTTCCTGCCCTTCATCATACCTTCTTCACAGCTCTCTTCCCAGCTCCGTGAGTCATTATGCTGGGGTGGAAGCAGGCTTTGATCTTGTTTGTCAAGGGCTCTACCATTGAGCTATATCCCAGCCCTTTGGGGCTTCCTTTCTGGAGGCTTCTGTGCCACACAAACATGTTAAATACATAGTTTTGCTCTTAGTAACCTGACTTTTTGTTGTAGGGATCTGAAGCATGGACTCATGAGAATGAGGAATCTTCTCTTTTCTGCGGTGTAAGTGTGGTTATGTTAATACTAGATACAAAACATCGGTTAGGCACCGTGGTGATGCAAGCTTGTAACCCCAGCACCGAAGAGGAGGAGGCAGGGGCATGAGTGTAAGTCCTGCTGCTTGGGCTGCTTGGAAGAACCTGTCTCAACAAATGAAAACAAGAAAACTTCAAAAGCTCATTTCTGCCCTCTAGCATAAAGAAAACAAACACTAACTAGAACAAAGGTAGAGCCTGTTTGCACGTCCTGAAGTACAGTCTGAGCACAGGGCCCTGGTGCTGCCTTACCCCGAAGGGAAAATAGAGGGAGAGTTGACATCCATCTTTCTCTCCTAGCGTTTCTCTGTTAGGTTGCCTGGGGGCATTTTCTGGTTGCTTCCGTCATCTTGGAGCCGGGTCTGCCATCTTGCTCTTGAAAACCCCAAGCTGCCTGGGTTCCCATGACAGAACATGAAGGACAACCTCCCCTTGGCTACTCCATGTGACAGACAAGGTTGGGGGAGGGTGGAGGACGGTAGGGTGGGGAGGGAAGTATTCTGTGCTGTATCCAGGAGTGGCTGTGCATGGGGAAAAGCCCTGGGGAGTCCCTGATGGTCTCTCCTCTCTCCTGTTTGAGGAGGAAGCTTGTAGAACATTTTGTTCATTTGTGTTTGTTTTCAAGACAGAGTCTCATGTAGCCCAGGCAGGCCTGGAACTCACTATGAAGCAGAGGATATTTTTGAACTCCTGATCTCCTGCCTCTACCCACCCCCCAAGTTCTAGGATCACAGACATGAGCCACCACGCTCAGCTTTGAAGTGTCCGTAACTGTGACGCTGGCCACCCTTTCGTGTGTGCAGAGATAACACCACCAAAGCTTCAGGACTTAAGATGACAGAGACTTGCTTTGCTTTGGGCAGGTGTGTCTTGCTTCTCAGGGTGGCTGTGGACTGTCCCCATGTTGTCCTTGCTCAGGGACCCAAGAGGACAGAGCAGCTGCTGTCTGGAACCGTGACAGCAGCAGCGTCAGGAAGAAGGAAAATGTGACAAATTGCAGCTGTCACCTGGACCTGACCTGTCTGTCTCTCTCCCATTCTCTCACCTTTAGTGTCCAAAATGCATCAA